CGCTGCAAGGTAGGCGCCCGCACCCTCCTCAGAAATCTGAAACACTCCTGCAAGTCGGTTGCTTACTATCCCCCCTGGATGATTCAGGATTGCAATGATGTCGTTGCTTCCAAGTTCTTCCCCATAGAAGGACCGGAAGGACGCCAGTATCCCCTCTGCGAGCGAGATTACTTTGGGCGACTCAACCTCATTTGTGGCAAGTGCGATCAAGCCCTCCGAGGCAGCTATATCACGGCATGCAGTATGTATTTCTAATGATTTATTCGAGCCTCGCTCACATTTCGGCCTTATTCATTGGCTGTCGTCTCACCCCTAATACTCTTCAATAGACAAGAAGTACCACGTCGAGCACTTCACCTGCTCAGTATGCACCACCGTCTTCGGCGCTCAAGACTCGTATTATGAGCACAAGGACGACGTATACTGCCACTATCACTATTCCACCCGCTTCGCAACCAAGTGCGCAGGATGCAATAGTGCTATCCTCAAACAATACGTCGAAATCAACCGTAATTCAAGAGACGAATGCTGGCACCCAGAATGCTATATGATCCACAAAGTAAGCCTTGGCGATTCTATTGAGCAATTTGCGTCCCTTTGTCGGACTCAATAGTGATCTGCCTACGTTTCCATAGTTCTGGAATATCAAGGTTGTGTCGAAACCCCTAGCGATTGAGGGTTCTCTCCCAGAGGGCACGCCCCCGTATGCGGCTGAAGAGGCTGCAGAAACCCACGATTCACTCCGCGAGAAGCAACAGAAGATGGAGCAGAAAGTATACCGAATTTGGACCCATCTATCCGCATTCGAGGAATCCTCTGCAGCCTGCATCTCTGATATGCTGCGGCATGTGAGCTCGGTCAACTACCTCGACTCTATACGGATGGCAGAGAAGTTTATTCTGCATGTGGAGGTGCTCTTCGCTGCTATAGACGATCTGGAGGCGCACTTTGCTCTGGTCAAGAACAAGGGTATGCCCCAAACTAGTCACTTCCTATGTCCCTAGACTAACCCATGCCTGATCTACTTCAAGGCATGTCGCATGTACGAGAAGCAAGGATGCTATGCCGCAAAACCGTCGACCTCTTCACCCTCCTGTCTCATGCTGGCGAGACCGGGACAACAGAGCGAATGGGCATGACACAGGGGCTACTCTCTCTCGTCACTGGCCTCGCCCACTATCTCAAAATCCTCATCCGGATAGCACTCACGGGTGCTCTCAAACTTGATCGAGACTTTGGAAGGCATGAAGCATTAATCAGTTTCCTCGACAAACTTGCACTTCTCGCCAGCGGCGGCAGCAACCCGTCGGCTCGACGAATTCTCCCTTCATCAAAACCTCAGTCCAGCGACGACCCGGTTATACCTAGTGGCACTCAGGGCGTGTCCTATGGGTACAAGAGCTTAGCTCCAGAGAATGCGGGCGAGTCTCCTTTCGTTGGCAAGACGAGTGGGCCGAACGGCACAGGCAGTGCTATGTCGACTCCACCAAGCGACGAATGTGTCTCATGTCTGAAGACTGTGGAAGAGGACTGCGTTCGTCTTGGGACCTACAACCGCTGGCATTCATCATGTCTCAAGTGTGTCAATTGCGGGCGAGACGCGATGGACCCTGCAGCTGCCGCGGCGATCAAAGAAAAGGAGGCTGCTCAGTCAGTGGCCGCTGCTAATGGCGAGCCAGCACCCAAAGTCTCTTCTTCTCGACGACCGCCAGCCCGCGTGAACGAATTCCTGTTCGTCACGGATGCGCGGGACGACGAGATTGAGCGCCACCCTCCCAAAGCGATTTGCTGCACCGATCACCCCCTCCCGCAAAGTCGTGTTGGCTTTGCCGCCGTCTCCCGCCTAGAGCAATTCGCTTTCCTCCTTAATGTCGCATTACGGAGACTATACCTCTTATTGCTCAGACGCAACTTGATTCCCATGGCGCCTGCATCGTCTGCGGACTCGGACACGAGCTCGCACACTGCGACACCACGTGCATCGATTGCAGAGAGCGATATCATGCCTATGAAATCGATACACCTGGATCGCAAGCTGTCTGCGACAGCACGAGTACCGAAGCGGTCGATGATTGTCGAAAGCCCCACAGGGCGTATTGCGCAGGCTACTGATGTGCAGCATGGGCAGCAGCGGAACGTCTCGGGCGCCTCAGCAGCCTCTGCTGCTAGCAGTACGACAACTGCAGTAACGTCGCCGCCAAGAGAGAAGAAACTCTCGAACAACGCGCCACGGCCTGTGGCACCACCACTGACAACCTCGCCTGAGGCCCAGTGGTCACAGCAGAGCAGCAGCTCATCCGCAAGTGAGACAGCCATCAGCTCCCCCACCCCTCCTACCCCCTTGTCCCCGAACAGCACGATCATCCGCCCACCATTTGCGCGCAATAATACCCAGGTGGCCATTGTTGACTATATGCCCACTGAGGAGGACAGTCTAGCAGGGTACGGTTCGCCGCCACCGCCTGCAGCTCCTAATGGCGGTGGCCGAACACCACAGCCGCGATCACCCATGGATGGTGGAGAATTTGACGAGGGTATTACTCTCGGTGATATCCCTCAACTGCTCGAATCAGAGCAAGCACGCGAGCAGAGGAGATCGCTCCCGCGGCAAGGCGACAGGCCGTTCATCGCAGAGCTGAGCCAGCTAGAGTTGTTTATCGTCAAGCACTTTGCTCTTTTAGCGCTGCTACGGTCACCATTGAGGGACCAGTTCGACCTGGATGAGGTATTAGAGCTCATCGAAGCAAAGAAGTCGACATTCTGGAATAAGATATTCAAAGGAGGTAAGGACAAGAAGGATATCAAGAAGAAAGGTGTGTGTGGAAATGTTAGGCTCAATGCTTTCATTCTGTGCTTATATGAAGTATCAGGTTCCTTCGGTGTTCCTATTGAGCTCCTGGTTGAGCGTGATGGCGCCGACTCTCTCCTAGGAGCCTCTAGGGCTACACTCCGCATTCCAAGCTTCATTGACGACGTCATTTCTGCCATGAAGCAAATGGGTAAGTTGAGCTTTACGTCTTTGGTCGGCACCACCGATACTAATTTTCACTATGACATCAGATATGTCCGTTGAGGGTATCTTCCGAAAAGCTGGGAACATCCGAAGGCAGAAAGAGCTTGCCGAAGCCTATGATAGAGACCCCGAGGGTGTGGATCTTACCACTGATAACGCAGTTCAGCTGGCGGCTCTATTGAAGAAGTTCTTGCGAGAGATGCCCGAACCCCTCCTACTCTACAAGCTCCATCGCCTTTTCATCGCATCACAATGTAAGTCGTGGCCGACTGTCCGTGCTTCTATAATGCAAGAAGACGGCTAATTGTTGTTTGTAATGACACCTCTAGCATTACCAACTGACCAAGAACGACGCCGATTCCTTCATCTCATTTCTCTCCTCCTCCCCAAACCAAATCACGACACAATGGAAGTCCTTTTCGTCTTCCTCAAGTGGGTCGCATCATTCTCCCACATTGACGAGGAGACTGGAAGCAAGATGGATCTGCAAAACCTTGCGCTTGTCATCGCTCCGAGTATCTTGTACGCCAAGAGCCGAGACGCCACGCGAGATGAGAGCTTCATGGGTAACCACGTCGTCTCGCTCATGCTACAGTACCAGGACGACTTTTTCCTTGTTCCAGAGGAGATGCTTCCTATGCTCCACGACCAGGAGTATTTTGCCAGCTGCCTCGATATGCCATCAAAGGATGCGCTCAAGAAATGCGAGACCTATCTCAGACTTCGACAAGGGCGGGGAGGTGCACCAAACGGGGGTATGCCACTCAACGGAAATTCGGCGCCTGGCGATCACCGACAACCTCACCACCCTCACCCTCAAGTCCATCAGCAGCGCTCGGATCCCATGATGCGTGGGCGGCCTGCCCCACCATTCGCTGAAGGCAATGGGGGCAGTCGATCCCCGCGTTCCCAGTCAAGAGGTCCAGGGCCTGCGTCATCACATGGACATTCGTCCGTGACCGGCCATGGTGGATCACCTACCGCTATGAGCATGCCCGACCACCCCGCTCACTTTGCCAACAATAACGCGAACGGCTGGACATCTGGCAGCCCCCCGACGAATGGATATCGTCCCCCACCGCCACCACAGCAGCAGTCAACGCCAAATATGCGAGGGGGGAGACTGCCACCGCAAGACGGAGAGACAACAGCAACCCCTTGGGCGAATCAAGGGGCGCCCTGGGAGAACGTTGCCCGGTCGCGGCCGAGTTCTCCATACTCGAGTGCCGATCACTCAAGGTCTCAACAAGGACACTGATAGCATACACGTGGCTCTCTTGCTTGCGCTATGTTATAGCGTGTGTCCTTATTTCGTTCATTTCTGGGTGAAGCTGGTCTTTTTGTGCTTTCCGTTGCGATGTTGGCTGCTCCTGTTCAGTGTCCACTCGCGATACCATTTGCTCTCCTATTTTGCCGACCTTCCCTTGTTGTATTCATAAAGTCCTCTTCCATCTATATCTAACTTTCCTTTCTCCCCTTTGACGCTTTTGTCATTTACCCTCTCAGTTGCTTTTGTTTGACCTTATCTATTTTCTCCCCCTTATTCCCCATCATACCAATCACAAATAAGGACCATTTCTCTCTCTCTTATACGGTGTTCGTCAATTAGGTCTAAGTCAGAGTGTGTGCAAGGAAGGAGGTTTGGGCTGGGATGGTCGTCTATCTGGTCTGGAAAACTGAGCTGGTGGGCCAGCAACTACCGGACTAAATGCTTCCTTCTATAGTTAGGACGGTTTTCTCTCGCGAATGGGAGTGGCTAAGATACGGGGGTATTGGGAAAATGTAGCCCAAGTGAACTGGGTTGATTGAATCAGTGGAGGACGAGCAGGAGGGAGAACGATCCCTCTAGTCTGTGCTCCGAATGAGGTGTGACTGTGACCCGAGTCACAGAAAGATCCCGGCGAATCAAGCTCTAAAGAAGTTTTCCCCCGCTTATTCTCGGTTGGCGACACCAAAAGAGAGGCCCAGACACAGCGGACCAAAAAGATGATTCGTGCAGGGCTCGAACCTGCGACCTTCAGTGCACAACTGGATCAGATCCTGTTAGACTGGCGCGCTACCAACTGCGCCAACGAATCCCAGATGTCTAAAGCCTGACTCTGCCCATAATAATTGGTAGCATTTTTAGGCTTTATATCATCCTTGAAAACCGAGGTCGCCATACCCTCTCCAACAATCAGAAAGAAAGCTATGAGCCATTTGAAGTGTATGTACATTTATGCTATAGTAACTGTTCAAAGTCCGCAAAGATGTGTGTAGTGTCTTGGGGTTTAAGATGTGCGCGCGCGTATTGATGGGTTTTTGTGTATACAAAACGAGGTATCTTGAATGTTGGTTGATTATTTATAATGTTGATGAGCTGGAAAGCAGTCGGAAAAAAAAAACGAAAGATCTATGCATAGCGGGGGATCAGTGACTGTTATAGCCATACGAGTTGGAGAGACATACCCGAAAACAAGAGATGTACAAAGCTGAGTCATTGAGTTCACCAAGCCTGGCCTGCTGCCCTCTCGACCTTCCCATAGGTCCATCGCTGCTTAGTGTCTAGTGTCCAGCATTCCACGTCTCGGAGTATCTCATCGATAGTGTCGTCGGCGTCCTGGACAACCTCAACTGTGAACTCGACTGTCCGCAGACTAGGGCATGCCTCGGACCAAGCAGCGACGAGCTCCTTCTGAAACGCGGGGGACAGAGGGCGAACTTCTCCGGCGAGAGAAGTGGCAGTCTTCTCATACGAGAGGCGCGTGAGGTGCTTGAAGGAAGCGAGGCCCTCGGCCCAGTCAAGCTCGGATCGGGCACTCCTAGCGCTAGGGGCGGCAAGCTCGAGGGTCTGGAGACGGGGAGTGTGCTGTTGAATGAGGGAGAGGCTGGCAGATGTGACAGGGTCGACGAAGGAAAGCGAGAGGTGTTCTATCGGTCCTTTGGAAGAGCCGAGCGGGTGAAGGACGTATTGGAGCCCCATGGCGGCGATACCGTCCTGGACGGTAACATGGGTAACAGGCCGATGAGGGATGATGATGCTAAGGTCTATGATATTTCCGTGAAAATGCTTGAGGGAGGGAAGGACAGATGGGTCGTGGAAGATATTGGTGTTCTGTGTTGGGGTGTACCCGGAATGAATGTACTTCTCAATGCCGGTTTGGGTAATCAGGAACTGAGAAGTGGGAATATGCGGTCAGGTCATGTACACACGATTATTAGATTCGGAAAGTGTGCTCACGTTTGTCAAGGCTCGGTCGCAGTCAAACGACGTCACGAATTCCAGCAGCTGAAAGTCGCAGCCAGTTAGGAGCGCGTCCCAGCCCGCGTTGAAATCCATCTCGGGGATGTTTGGGAGTATCACAAGGGAGCGAAGCTTGCTCATGGCTTTCAGCATAGAGTGGACCAACGTATGCTGGTGCACGTCAAAGTCTAGGATCATGCAACTGAGCACGCGCTTGGCGCGGTCCGGGTCTTGGCGGAGACTGTACAGGAAGCTTTCGATCTGCCGTTCATTCGATATCTTGACGTTGGTGTATAGATAGCGTTCACACTCGAGGTGGAGAACCCAGCTTGCACTTGAAGTGGCAATGAGACTGGGATGGTCGAGGTATGCAGTGATCTGAGACTGGAGCTCTATAGGCAAATTTCGCGGGGACAGCGGGATCGACGCTATCCCCCCAGAGTCCACAGTCATTCCAAAGTGATGTGTCCAGCTATGGTGTAGGTTTGTGCAGGTGGAGCGGAACTGGAGGGGCTGTATCGGTCGAAGCGATGTTGATTCGGCTGCTAATACATATACAAACAACAACACTGCGCATACACGTTCATAATAAACGTCTCTTGTCCAAAAGGATTCACTCCTCAGCCTGCACTTTCCTCATGGTATCCTGCCAGTCTTGCCCGAGCTTTTCCAGGGCCCGGCTCTTGGCTAACAAAAACCCACAATTAGATACTATCTTCTCATAATACCAGAAAAACTCATACCAAAGATCCGAATAACGTCCTTTAATAGTTCCCGTTTTTGCATCCCGAGGACGGTTGGGGTCCAGGTCTCCTCCCGTCCCGGTTTCCTAAATGACAGATGTCAGATAATGAACAGAGCGTGGAAAAGCTCCACACACCAGTACAATGGTCCCGCGAGTTCTCGCAGCAAATCCTCGGCCTTCGCCGCGAAACCTTCGTTTGCCAATTTGTTGGTATAATGCAGGAGCTGGGTCTTGTACTCGATCGGGCTATCAAGGATCCGGGCACCATGGATCTTGGTCTCAAGATGTCCCAGAGTGAGCGCTTCGCCCCACCAGTGTGGGACTTGGCCTGGGGCATCGGCCCGAAGCCCGACAGGCAGAGGCTCATTACGGAGATCCATGTCGGCAATCGAAAGCTCGAGGGACGACATGACGCCGTTGGAGCCAGAAGCACGCTGCTTGCCCTCCCATGCCTCGCTACCATGTGCCCATCGAGGCTCACTAACTTTCACCCACACCCCCATATCAGCGTCGTAAGAGAAGGCACTCCCATTAGAGAGAAGCAGAACTGGTGCTCCATTGGGGCGCAAAACTGCAGAAAGGAGAGAAGCCGTTGGGGCAGCAACGAGAGGTTGTACAATGGTTGATGGAATGTGTGCTTTGAGCGACTTGATATTCCTATATGAACGCATGAGAATACCGCTGAAGCAAAACAAATGAACTATCCACGGACCATACATAGAGCCTTCCAGTCGAAGTGATGGCCATTGCATAATGTCTGCAAATGTCGAGCACGACGCACGGGCTGTCCAGCAGGATAGATGGCATGATTCTATATTGGAGAGTATTAGTAAATATGCAAATAGATCGAGCGAGCTGGCTCACCTGCGGCCAGTGCTACTATAGATATTGAGCGTAGAGTCTTCCATGGCGGCCGCACAGAACGAGACCGTTGCTGCAACGGCAATGACATTGGCGGACACATAATCGAGGAATTGTGTTTCCCTGGTAGTGATATAAGAGACCTCTGGGGGGGCTGTTCGATACTGGTCAGATCAGGAAGCCAAATCATGGACGATCCACTCACTCGAACCATCGTCGGAATTTTTGCCCTCGAATACATCCCCTTCGCGCGCATCAAGGACTTTGGTACTTATCACATTCTTGACTGGGGGTATAGCGAGTCGCAACCGAGCTCCTGCAGCACTGGTCTCCCCCCGAGTATCAATATCCATAGGTAGCGCCACCGTTCTAATCTCTCGAATAGGCACAGGGTTCCGTTCTCGAGGCCGATCGCCACCCAGCGTACGTCCTGAGGCGAAAGCCATCCCTTCTGGCGGTCCTCGTGCCTCCCACTCCATACGTGTGTCGTGATATGCCTCGCGGGACAGAGGAGACTGGCGGTAGCCATCGTGGCCGTTTGGTTGATGATAGCCTCCAGGTCCGGGGGGAGGGCCATATCGATCAGGAGGATAAGGCCCTCGAGAGTCGTATGATGGGCCTGCTTGATTCATAGGCGGTGGTTGGTAGCCGTTTTGATGAGGAGGATAACCAGCACCTGGGCCTCCTGAATGAGGAGGAGGCTGACCGCCCATGGTAGGAAGCCCGCCGGGCCCTGACGAGAGATGCGAGACGAATTGAGGCTGGATGCGCTTCTTTTTCTTGCCATTGACAAAGACTGTTTCGGGTTGACCTGGGTTTGAGGAAGGCATCGCAGAAGGCTGTCTTGATGGGTGATAGATGGGACCCTGATTGTAAGCGGCATAATTGTGTCGAGGCTGTTCGATAGGAGCTGAAGATGGAAGATATGGAGTGACAACGGGAGGGGCAGTGAAATTGAACAGCTTGAGATATTCTGGTTGCACGTCCAATGGCGCAATACCATCCATCTCTGATGTGTCAAAGTCGAGCACACCAATAAAGCCGTCAGATGAGCAAGCGTAAAGTGTTAGCCCATCTTTGGACCTATGAGGTACACAAACATTAGACAAGGACATTGAGGTCGAGGAAGCAATCCTCACCATGAAAGATCCATGATTGGTCGGTCAAACACGTCTTTCAGTACGACGAGTGGCCGTGCAGACTTCGTTTGCCAAACCGAAATGGACAAGTCATCTGATCCAAGGGCTACAACGCTACAGATATTTTGTGTTGCAACCGGTTTTGTAGCATCACGTCTGAAGATATGTGGGTTATATGCCTATAGAATCTCGCATTGGATAAATATTGATACCAAAGAGGAGCAATTTTGCCAGGACTCACAGACACTTCAACGGTATTTTCATGGCCCACGAGCGAGATATTGGAGCTCCACGATGACCGAGATATTACTGCAGCTACGAAGACGTAGCCATTATTATTCATTGCGTTAGATGCAGTTATGTGAGCGCCATCGGGCGACCAACTACAGGGGAGATGGGTATGAGAAGGGGCCTGTTTGGGAGAATGCAGCGGACGACCCACCTCAAGCGACGAAAGAACGTTGAGCCTGGTGATTTTTCAAAAGGTGCAGTAATAGTTGTCTCAAGAGACCAATCTGTAGTATTCCATATTTTGACAGACTTGTCATCCGACTGGAAGACGTGATTTCAATCATCAACAACTTTGCAGTGAGAAGGGTGGGTGTGCCCAAGAAAGGTCCTACCTGTGTTGCCAGATATTGGCCAACAGGATCCCAGCAGACACCTTTCACAAAACCTTGATGCTGGTCAAGTTTTCTGAGAAGCTCCAGGTTCGCGCCACTCCATATCAGAACTTTGCTATCGAGGCCCACACTGGCAAGATAGCGATCTTCGGGCGAGAATGCCAGGTCGGTAACATCTGTGGGCGAAAGCTACTTAAGTTTGGTTAAGATGATGCTTCGCGACGTTACGAACCTGATTCATGACCAGGTAGCCGCTTGAGGGCCTTCCAGCCTTCGACATTCACGTCGTCAGATCCCCAGACCTTCCCGCCACCACTCGTGCTAACGATGATGTTATTCATGGCATAAACATGGATGAATGATTAAGGAAACGCACGGATCGAGATCCCAGACCATGATAATCGTGTCGTCTGATCCGCTCGCAAGCCATTTACCAGAGTGCGACCACCGAACACAAAGAACGGGACCTGCAGAGGAGTGCAACGTC